TATCTGCCGAGTTCTTCAACATTATGATTAGAATTCTAACGAACACAGCAACAAAGTCGGTGAAAAGAGTCAAGGAATGTTTCACATAGTCCATGTCACCGAGGTGTGCCTTCTCTATAATCTCCTGTGTGTCCACCACCATGTATCCCACAAAGATCAAGAGTCCAAAGTAGAGCTGTGCAAAGAGAGATACATAAACAATGGTGAGCAATCTGAGAAAGCAAAAGACAACTACATAAAGAACAGATCTTTCTAAAACGACTTACCTCAAACTTAAAGATAGATGCAGAGCCACCGAAGATCGAAGAGGCAAACTGAAGCCACATTAGCATGGACAAGCCAGATGAAAGAAGGCCTCCAAGGTAGAGATATTCCCTACGTCTTGCCAGCATGGCTGCTGCCGAGAAACACACAAACGCTATCGCAGTTCCAACAAACGCAGTAATGAGGATGCTGGAGAAACAAATACAAGATATACAATAACAGTCAGATCCCAGAGAAGTCTAATACAAACCTAACACAGCTTCTTGGCGAGTGCTGGATAAAATATTCGACACACAGTAACAATAACTCACCTTGGATCGACATCAACTGCCACTTTGATCAAAGGACCAACTGAAGCACCTTCAAGAACGGCAGACAGAAACAGAAGTGAAAGCCTCTTTTGCTGCACCAGAGAGAAGAGAAAACAATGTCACGGAAAACGAGATTACGAAACGATAAGAAGACAACCTCAAGAAAGAAAGAATGTGAATTGAGCCCACGTACTTGTTCATAAGGAGGACACGAGAGAAGCCAAATCATGCTTCCAATGCATCCAATTGTTGTGAGAATACCACCAATATTCCAGAGCACATGGAGGTAAGCTCCAAAGGCAGACGCAACAAGTGCACAACATAGAGTCAGATAAACCTGCAAGTTCCACAATCAACATCACAACATAAATCAATGAGTGATGCTCAATCGAACAAAATCAGTGACAATACAGAGCGAATTCGGCCTACGAGATCAATTCTTTTACCATTAAACAATCTCATCGCAAGAAACTATGAACCAACTAAATAATTCCCTCTCGATTCCTATCTCTCCAATTCCAATTCCAATCCACACAGGGGAAAAAAAAACCAATTCGAAACCCTAGAAATTCATGGAAAGTACAATCGCAACGATTCGTTCAACAACACGTAAACGGGAAGGCAAAACCTAGAAATTGAGATGCAATCGAGACAATCAGGGCGATCAAATTTACCCAGAAAACAAAAATCGAATCTCAGATCAATAGTATAACAAAATCGTCTCTAAATCAAAGATTTGTGCGAAGAAGTTACCCGCTTGAGATGATTCTGAACGGACGGAGAAATCTGACGGAAGTTCTTGAGAGAATCATAGCTCCAGCTTCTGCTACCAGGTTGAGAATCGAAGAAGGAAGAGAACGCATCCATGG